GGGGGCAGATCACCAACCTCCCATAAGCACAGCCTGAAGCATAGCTAATTTTAGGTCAGTCTGGATAATGAATGGCATGCGATGTTGGTTAGGTCGGCCTTGGAGGTAAACGTGAAGGTGATGGTGATGAACGTGTTTCCAGCACAAGCAGCGGAGAGTTCATATCAGAGAGCCCGGTCCCGTCCTGCTGAAGAATGCAATCAAAGTCGGGCTGTGAGACAGTAACCAATGGTGAGGGGAAACCATGGCGCATAGCGCTTGTCCGTTGGTTGTTGAACAAGGTTGGTTGCATGTACTGTAGGTAGGTATGACAACAGAAAGTCGGTCTCTGTCGAGCAAATCGAGGAATACGCGAGATTCGTAGGGTGGTGGTTGTGTGGTCGTAGCAATCTTCGATCTCTCGTTTCCGTTTTGGATCATTCTGTGGCGGTGCAGCGTGGAATCAGGTGGTTTCGGAGGCCTACCAGCGGATAATATATTATCCGCGACTCTATATTACTTGGAATCTCTACGCTAATTACCTACTCGGCCATAATATGAGAGATGAGTTTATTTCGCGTGAACTTTCCTAACTGCGCCTTTGCTTCGCCAACTGTTGGAACGTCTTCACGAGAAGATTTGTGCAATGAACGGAAAGCGAAAAGAAAAGAAAAAACAAATGGTATCTTCGCCTATTCTCTATTGAATCCGATTTCCCAAGCCTGATGTAAGCAAACTGCTCGCCTCGCAGTGATTTTAAATTGTGCTGGTTTGATGTGGCGCTCCTTCTTCTCGTCCCTGAGATTCCGCCCAAGAGACATCCCTTACTGGGACTTGACGATCCTCGAGGGGTCAAAGGGGACCACGTTGCCGTTGGCATCGGTCATGGCCGGTGCGCCGACAGGGACGACGGAATTTTGACGGGGAGCGAGTCCTAATTACAAAGTAGTGTGTGTCAGTGTTCCGTCCAGTTGCCGGCTTTTGTATCAATCCTTCATGCCACATACTGTTGTACCTGGAGCCTACAGAGGCAAAGGCGCCGGCGTAAAGAGCGAAGAGAGCGATAACGGAGTACTGCATTTTGGCGGTTGTGGTTGTGGTATATTTGCTTGGCTTGCGACGGCAGACTTTTGGGAAAGGACGGAGCGAAGATGGATGACGAAAAGAGAATAAAACGTCGACCGGCGACAAACAGTAAAACTCTGAGAATGGGAAGAGAAGTTGGAATGGTTGATCAGAGGATGGAGACAAAAAGGATCGCGGCGGGTCGAAGGGACATGAACATGGTCTTTATTTGTATCTTGGGCATTCACTCTGGATGGCATGGGCTTCACCTGCCATCCCAAATTTGCGACCAAACTAGTTCGCTGCAACGGGTTGGCGGGATCAAACATAGGGGTGTTTACGATGCCAGGGCCGGACTCGCCTGAGAGCATGAAACATAAGACGAGGTCGTATCGCCGTGCTCCGGGCGAGCTCAAGACTGGAGGGAATAGCGGATGCGAGCCTTGGGTTCTCGAGCGGGTGCAAACCCGCGGGGGTGTGAGACGGTCTTGTCACAGATCATCCGCACGAGAGATGTTTCAGGACCTAGGGATCAAACAGTCCACATGTCCGAGCTCGCTTCCCCCGAGATTCCATGGTGGGAAGTATTGAACACACGGTCTGTTCAATACAGGGCATCGGTTGTCTTGCATTGATTATATAATTAGGCCGGGATTATTCCGCGTTTTCCTGTGCCTAGGTACCTTATCTCAATCAGGATAAGCATTCGGAGACGGACCAGATGGACAGGTCATCGGCGCCTCGAGCCCACTATCAGACAGACCCAGCCAGCGCTAAGATGTTCTGGCCACAGGGACAAGTGTCTTAACGGGCTACGGAGTAATTATTACTTGCCTAATAACTTGACCTATGGAAACAAGCCTTAACATTATCCTAATAGCAATTGGAGGAGATTGAAATAGTAAGAAATCACCTAAGTATAGTGAGGTGCAAGATGAGGATAACGCCGTTATCTTGTGATGAATTCGTCGAAGAACAAAGACGTAGATAAGGGCTGGGGGAAGAAACTGAATTCTCATTTTTTTCGTCTTTACAACAACTTTTATTTACAGAGGTACGGTTTCCAGACAAAAACTTCGAGCCAGTTTATACCTAAGATAAGTGTATTGAGTGATAAGTCACCTACGGAGTGGCCCAGAACATTCGCTGACACAAACATCGATACACCGAATATCTACCTCGCGGAAAGGAGCCCCACTATGCCTATCAGTTCGTTAACAAGTCCTATGGCGGGGTAATGCCGGGAGTAACTCGGTCACGCTCGCAGCATGCAGGAGCTAACAAATAAGGCTTTCAGCAGCAGCCCACCCGGTCTTGTCCAAGCAGCATCATCTCCGCCTAATCTCTCCACCGTCTTTGTCTTCCCTGTCTTTCCCCGCCCGCACCTTCCTCACACCCCTCTCGCTTTTCCACTTACCTCTCAACTCCGCTCACCACCAGATCTGCGAGAGCCTGGGGCATTCGAACCTGTAGTTCTAACTCGCGAAACAATATCTAAAATCGGTATATACTGCAATTTTCAACAAACAACCAGTCCCGTCGGACCACATGGCGTCCGTTGAACACTGTCTCTACTGCTTCGAAACCCTGGCTTCGCGTCTGGAAAAGCGGAGGGGATTCTCACTCCCGGAAGTACAGAAATTATGCCGCGAGTATGCCAAGACGCCAGCGAGTGAGGGAAGCATCGGCAGCAGTTTCAATAAGAAGCAGCTTCCCGCATTTCGACGCCTTGCCAACCCTTCTAGTGACACCGGCTCGGCATCGTCGGGCTCTAGTATGTCCCTCGCCACAGAGACATCAGCTACCTCGCTGGAGTCTCTCCCGGACGCTGCCGACATCACCGACAACGACGAGGCCGAAGGGGAAGGAGGAGAAGAGGAGGAGGTGGAGGAGGAGGAGGAGAAGGAAGACGACGAACTCATCACCGAATCCCCGCTCTTCGTGACCTGGAACACCGTCTCCCGACGTTCGGCGCACCGCTCCCTCCGCGGCTGCATCGGCACCTTTGAGGCACAGAAGCTCGACCTGGGCCTGGCGGAATATGCTCTCACGTCGGCAATACACGATACGCGCTTCCCCCCGGTGGAGAGAAACGAGCTGCCCGAGCTGGAGGTGGCAGTGACCCTGCTGACCGATTTCGAGGAATGCGACGACGCCATGGACTGGACGTTGGGCGTCCACGGCCTCCGCATCAGTTTCACTTATCACGGGAGGCGGTACGGCGCCACGTATCTGCCCGATGTCGCCGTCGAGCAGGAGTGGACAAAGGAGGAGACCTTGGTGAGCCTCATGCGCAAGGCCGGGTGGATGGGCCGTAGGGACCGTTGGCGCGATGTTGAGCTCAAAGTCGTGCGCTATCAGGGCAAGAAGGTAAGCATCGAATATGCCGAATACCTTAAGTGGTATGAATGGGCGCGGAAGAACGGCAAGACCAAGGATGGTAAGGCCTCCTAGTAATGCGAATGAATGCGGGTGTCACACTGGCCCGGGGGGTGAGGTGGTTTTTCCTTCCCTCTTGGGGCGCCGGGGTGGGCATCGGTTCAACTTTGATGACGGCAATGGACGCACTACGGGAATTGGCATGGCGTTCAGGTTATCGAGGTCCGTGAGCTTTCAGGGCCCAACAACGTCTTGCGAAGGTGGACAATTACGCTTGGATGAGGATAGACGGCCGCCGACTCGAGATGGTACAACCCCTGGTCGTTCTTCTCCTGGGATGTTGTACTTTGGTCCGAGTCTCCGAGCTTAGCATTTTGTATTTCATTTTCAGCAGCGTCAAATACAGACGGTGTCTAATAATTCAGTTCCTCTCCACTTGTAACGGACTGATGTCTGATCTATCCCTTGGGTGCCAGCATAAGGACATACTCTCTCGTACTGTGCCCAAACTTGATCACGTCCTTGTCCCGCAGCTCGATGTACCGGCTCTCTGCCACCTTGTTTCCATTGAGAAAAGTCCCATTTGCACTCTCAAGGTCAATCAGGTATGGCTTCACACGGCCAACCCGGTCCCCAAACTCGTTCCTCTTCTCAATATACCGGAACTGGATGACGGCGTGTTGTTTGCTTATGCTCGGGTGCTCAGCCGGCATGTCGACGATAGCCACCTCGCGCCCCACGAGCCAGCAACTCCGCGCACTAAGTGGAATGGTATCAAGGGCGTCTTCTCCCTTGAAGACGAATAGCCTCCAGTCGTCCTTGGACGGTGGTTTGCGTGCCTCGGGTGGCTCGTGGTATTTGAGGGTGATGGTGCTGCCGTCGGCCTGTTGTACCGCGTTGGATACGGCAGCGAGGACACCCGAGGTGCCAAAGTTGGGTTTCTCTTTCGGTTTGGGCGGTTCGTCTAGGTCGCCCGTGACGACGGCGAAGGAATCGGATTGAGATGGTAGGGGCCCGCCGCGGCGCAAGGGGCTGCGCCGGCGACTGGGCGGCCGCTCTGCGTCGGGCACGTCATCATCTCCGTGTCGTCTGCGACGAGATGTCAACTCTTTCCCTTGGGGGGATCTTCTTCTTGTGTGCCGATCGCGATCCGAATCCCGGTTCCGCCGCCTATCTTGGTCTCTGCCTCTGCCTCGGTCTCGGTCTCGGTCACGGCCACCATCGCGTGAGCGTGAACGTCGCCGGCGGGGAGAATCTGGTGTCCGTGACCTTCGTCTGTCCTTTCGCCGCGAATCTCTCGATCTTGATCTTGACCGTTCTCTTCGCCTTTTGGAATCGTTGTGCTCGTCTGGTTTACGCTTATAACAGTCTCGATCGTTTCCCCGTGGCAAGTGGTCGTCGTCGTCGTCGTCTCGATGGCGGCGAACCCGCGAGACGCGGTCCGGGGAGCCCCGGTCTGAACCCATGTCTAATTGCGGAAAATTCGAAAATATGCCGAAATAGTTACCCGGTTACTTACGCCGATATTGGGAGTAAACAAAAGGGGGTTTGTAGTCTGATAGCCATGCGAATTTTCAAGAACAACCTGGTAGCTTCTTGAAATACGAGAGGTTGTCATTAATTAAGGTAATGTCCTGGTGGTACCTCCATGAGGTACAAGACCCACCTGCACTGAACCCCACAACAGGACGTCACCTGAAGGTCTTCCTTCCTAATCATACCGTACTTCGTAGGTAGGTAGTTGTATACCTTACCGGTAATTAGGTACCTTATTAATTACTTCGTGCCTACAGTTACCTAGGTATGCACTGCGAGTGCAGGGTCACTGAATGGCACTACTTGTCGGGTGGACGAGACTTGCACCACTCCATCGATCCGACAGTGGTAAAGTCTACAGCACTTTTTTGGACACCTTGGTATTTTATACGAAGTTGTTGACTTCGTTTGAGGGAAGCTTGACACAGACGAGAATATGAGGACACATTGGTCGATCAAGGAGGTTCTTCTGCCTCAATCGCCTCCATCATGCACCTATTTCGGGGTCTTTTCTTTCTTTTCCCCTTTCCAAGGATACCTAAGATAAAGCCTTACCACCTCTTCGGCGCATCTATCACATTGGAAGAATACGTTCTGCTCGTCACTGTCGCCCGTGATCTCTCCTTTTCCAACTTGGCCAGACCTATCCTGTCTGTTACAGGAGTAGCGTCGATAATGTTGTCAAACTCCTCGTCATCCTCCCCGTTGTCGCTGTCCGGCTCGATGTCGGAGTCCGCTTTGAACTGTTGCGGCTTCGGGACGACCTCGGGTTTCTTCTTGTCGGAGCCCTGGGGATTCCGAAAGGTCTTGGACGCAAGAACTTTTCGCCGTATCTCCTCCATGGCAGCGTCCTCGTCGCTATCGTCATCGGACAGAACGTAACGGTCCCTCTTCTCTTCCTCCTCGTCGCCGCCGGTATCAACACTACCGGATTTGGCATTGCCCTGATTAGGCTTGTTCTCGCCCAAGTAGATGCCACCCACGCTTCCGTCGTCTTCCTCATCGTCCCCACGTTTCTTTCCCCTACCTTCTTCATCGTCTTCCCCGTCGTCTTCGTCGTCTTCGTCCTCTTCGTCGTCTGAAGGAACCAAAATCCTCCGGTTGACGTTGCCGCTCTCCCAAATATCCTCTCCTTCTCCGCGACTATCCGCATACTCTTTGTCTAGCCTCTCCATCCATGCCTCTTCGACCTTTTTCACCGCCCGCGCATCTTCGCAGGCGGCATATTTCCTGAGCAGGGACCCGTTGATCTCCAAGAAGGACTCGCCGTAGGAAAAAGGTGCCAGGACTTGCTCGGCCCAGTCCTTCTTTCCGCAGATGTAGAAGGCGGCGGCCAAGGCCTCGGCGCAGTTGAGCCGCCACGGCTTTCCGTAGTTGACCGTGTTGGCCGCGACTAGATAAGGGAGAAGTCGCTCGCACTTGCCGCCGACTTTGCTCCATTGTATCTCCTTTGTGCGCGCCCAGCTACACTCGACCACTGCGGCGCCGTAGTCCTCCAACAGTTCACTGTCCGCCGGCGACACGACCTGTTTTCCGTTGGGAGTAATGATGACGCCGTTGAAGCGCTGGCCCATGTGCAGGTCGCGCATCATCCCCAGGCGAATAAGCCTCTTTCCGGAGCAGCGCTTGGGATCGCAGTGTCCGAGGTCCCAGCAAGCTGCCTTGAAGTCAGGGCGTGACGAGTTGGGAGCCGCTCCGGATTCGTCGTCGTTGCGAGGCGGTCGGTTCCGGGGTGGGCCATGGTGAGGCCTTCCCCGCGATGAGAATTTATCTTTCTTATGCCGCACCATTGCCGTAATTCGAATGCGGTCTCTGGGTATAGGGGGCGAGATAATGGACGCGGTGGGAACGAGCAGGCGGAGGGGCAACGAAGCTTGGAAAAAAGTCCACACCCAGGCGTGGAACGTGAGGTTGGTGTGGGTGTGGAGGTACCCATCGATAACGGAGCTAGGCAGATAACGAGTCTACTCGATAGGCCATTGCTATTGACATCCTAATAGTGAGTTAGTTGCCTAAGGTAATAAGAGGTGCCCCTCCTGTCAAGGTGGCCAGCTCCGTTATCATCTTGAACTCCGATTCCGAACTCTGAGAGCGGACCGGGAAGCCCATCCGCCTCCAAACCAATCTCCAGATTCTGGGAATTCTTTGAATTCATTTCAAGTTACTTCTAGTGCAAGGAGGTACCTGCGTATGTCCCTTCTATCGCCATACTACGCCCAACTCCTGGAAGTTGACCTCCACCAGCATCGCGTCAGGACTTCTGCCTACCGTCGCCCTCACCCCCCGTGGCTTTCGTCCGTCCTTTTGCTTCCGGTCTTTCCTCTCTCTTACGGTCTTACGACGTCCTTCTCTTTCTGTTTCTTACAATGGAAGCCTCTTCAGCTCGGGCTGCCACCCGGGATCGCTGGGGGGAGCTGGGCCGACCGACGCCGTCACAGCTCCATCGATTCATCCAGTCCGCCTGTAGTCCCGAGAACTACGAACCGAACCTAGCGCTTAACCTTGAGATTGCCGACCTCATCAACGCCAAGAAGGGCAGCGCTCCACGCGAGGCTGCCGTTGCCATCGTTGGCTATATCAATCACCGCAACCCCAATGTCGCCATGCTCGCCCTGAACCTGCTTGACATATGTGTCAAGAACTGCGGCTACCCCTTCCACCTGCAAATCAGCACCAAAGAATTCCTCAATGAGCTAGTCCGAAGGTTCCCTGAACGGCCTCCGATACGGGCGACGAAGGTGCAGATGAAGATATTGGAGGCTATAGAAGAATGGAGGAGCACAATATGCGAGACGAGCAGATACAGAGAAGACTTGGGCTTCATCCGGGACATGCATCGGTTGCTCAGCTACAAGGGCTATACGTTTCCGGAAGTTCGTCGAGATCATGCGGCGGTGTTGAACCCCAGCGACGTATGTCTAGCCCCCCCCCCCCCCCCCCCCCCCCTTGTTCTGACACGGGGCGACAAGTGACCGGCTGATGGTTAATGACTAACCTAACGGAACCAACAGAACCTGAAATCAGCAGAGGAGATGGAGGAAGAGGAAAAGGAAGCACGGTCAGCCAAGCTTCAGGAACTCATCCGACGAGGCCAGCCCGAGGACCTGCAGGAGGCGAACCGGCTGATGAAAATCATGGCCGGCTACGACACTCGCAGTAAGACTGACTATCGGGCCAAGGCTGCTGAGGAGGTGGGCAAGATCCAGGCAAAGGCAAGACTGCTCGAAGAGAGGCTCGAGGCGTTCCAGCCTGGGGATAAGATGCAGGACGGCGATGTTTTCTCGGAACTCGCCTCTGCCTTGCAAAGCGCGCAGCCCAAGATTCAGAAGATGTGCGAGGAGGAGTCGGACGACCACGAAGCCGTTGCCAGGCTCCTCGAGATCAATGACAGCATACACAGGACAGTGGAGCGATACAGGCTCATGAAGAAAGGGGATCTGGAGGGCGCGAGGCAGCTGGCGGCTGGTGTCCCCATCACGTCAGGCTCGGCCTCAGCCGGCAAGAGCAGCGCCCAGGAGCTCTCATTGATCGATCTTGATGCCGAAGCCGACACCGGCACCACGAACGGCTCATCTTCCACTCCATCGCAACCTAAGACGGCTGGTGGCATTGAGAACGATCTACTGGGCCTTTCCATCGGAGACGACTCGGGGAGCTTTGGGCAGACTGGCGCTCTTTCATTGGGCTTCGGGAATAACACAAGTGAGCTTGCTAGCTACCCTACGGACCTCTGCATTGGGGGGGGTGTGACAAATGCGTAGCAGTGCCTTGTTACTGACGGCGAACAGATATTCCCGGACCGGCATTGCTCTCATCAGTAACGGAAAACAACAGCGCCAGTGGTTTCTTGCCACCAAAACCGTCCTCGGCCTCATTCTCCGCATTCTCCTCCTTCACGTCTCCCTCCGCATCACAGTCCGGCACCCCGCAACCTCAAGCCTCCTCCGCTTTTAGATCCCCCCAGCCGCAACCTCCCGCAGCCGATCCCTTTGCGGCGCTCGCGTCCATCGGCACGCCGTCTCAATCGACAACACCGGCCCCGCAAGCCGCGGCGACCAACGACGATGACGAGTGGAATTTCGCGTCGGCGCTTCCGACTCCGACTCAAGCCCCTCCCTCTGCTCCGCGGGAACACAGGGCCACGGTGTTCAACGGGGACATCAAAGTGGATTTGCTCGCAAAGCGGTCAGCGCCCACCAACAGTGCCGTGGACTTACTCTTCTCCTTCTCGAACAACACCGCACAATCCATCCAACAAGTGCATTTTCAGGTTGCTGTGGTGAAGGTATGCTGGACCCTTTCCTTGGCCTTTCCTTCCTTTCCTTCCTTTCCTTCCTTTCCTTTTTTTCTTTTTTTCTTTTTTTCTTTTTTTCTTTTTTTCTTTTTTTCTTTTTTTCTTTTTTTCTTTTTTTCTTTTTTTCTTTTTTTCTTTTTT